ACAGAATCATGCAGTCGCCCAGAATTCTGGACAAATGCTATTTTCTAGCCTGCATACGTGTGAAGAATTTTCACTGACTTTCCTAATCGTGGAGTGATAAGTTACACGACCAAGCAAAGAAAAGTTTGCTTCCCACAACATACATGCAGGCACTCACAGTGTTTTCTCCCAAAAATGCTCTTCTGACTTCAGAGTAGTTTCCTTGCTTCCCCTTCTACTTTGAGGGGGACTCCAAGGGACATCCCAAATTGTGCTTGTTATTGCCCCAGCCCTTCACACTGTAGGTCCAGCAGTTATGGTGAAATTGCTCTCTTGACCCAGTTCTAGGCTGGCGATTTAAACAAAGGCATGGTTGGGTAGGCTCCAATTCCTGCTTGAGAGTCCACACAAAAACAAACAGGCCCTTTCCTCCTGCCTTGAAGGGAGGAGCACAGTGTAGCACAGCATCTGAGGAAACAAAATCCAATACCAGAAAAGCACTGAAAAACAATGCAGATTTTTTGTGGAAGTGTCCTGGGAGCTGTGGAGTGTAGGTGAGGTGGAACTTACTTCTTACAACATAGAGACACTTCTGGAAAGCCTGCTCAGATATCTCTGTCCCTGCAAAATATTGTATAGGGGCTGTCCCCAATTCCTCCTGCCCTCTGCCTCCAAACATTCCCAAGCCAAGTCACCGTGTTCTACTCTCTCTTACTTTGGCCAACCTTCTCTAAGCCTCTCCCTGCCCTTCAAATTGTTGTCGTGGTTGTTGTTGTTGTTACTGCTCCAGGTGTCTGTCTTGATGACCTCTCTTATGTAGATCAATTCAACCTTTCTCATCTTCTCCAAGCCTGCATCTCCAGCTCTCACCCTATTCAGGGAAAGCAAGACCTAGTGTGTGAGGCATGAAAAAGTGGTTTCCTCTGAAGGGATTCGAGGCTACACACAGTCAGCATTTCTGTCCCAATCACACTGAGTTCAACTGCACTTTGAAAGGCTAGGTGAAGGCTGGTAAAAATGCTCACAAGCTTTTCTTGCCTATGGACTGCTTAAAACTCTCTTCCTCTGTTTAGCTGATGAGAAACAACTTTTTCCTCCCACCAATGAAAGAAATCTGCCCAAGCACTGCTACACTTCTCGGCTCTCAGCTTGCTTTCTGTTTCACACCTTTTCTACAGATGAAGAATGTGATGAAGTGTTTTGGTTGAGAGATGGACTCCCCCAAGACTCCTTCCTTTCTACTTTTAACAGGGCGGAGGCATCATGAAGAGTGTTACTTGAGAAGTAGAATTAATAATGCCACATAGGAGTTGAAAATAATGTGTACAGTCACTAGGCCAGAGTGGAGGTAAGAAATTGTCAGAATATGAGGAGTTCCGTATGTCAGTTTGAGTGCAGTGGAGATACTGGAGAGACCCCTTTAATAAGGGCCGACTGGGATTTGTTTGGGAGAGCTTCGTGGAGGTGTGTTTTGATCAGTATTTCAAAGAAAACAAGGTGGTGTTTTAAAAGAAAGAGGTGGAAAGCAGATTTCAGGGATAGATGCATCTCCCCATAGAATTCTTTATGTAAAATGTTTGTACCTTACAGAATGACTCACATACAGCAGGTATCAGGAGACGATCATGAAGCGAATTGGTTAGTAACTGAGATTGCTTGCTGCCTAATTAGTGTTCTAACCTGTGCCCAGAACTGGGTCACATGAAGAGAATGAGACTAACCAGGTACAGGGACAAATGAAGAGACATTTAAGGAGGGACTTTGGATAACATTTGCTGATTCCACACCAATGTCAAAGGAACTTCAATGTCAAACATATTTCTTATTTATCTCACCTCAGAGAGATGCCCTAGGATGTAACCACTGAATTCTTAATTTTCTGGATATCAAAACAAGAATTGTTAAAAGAATGCTGTTTGAATTGCAAATGACAGAGATGGAACTGAGTGAAAGATTGCTGAGGCTGGTGGGCTGGGGTGGGCAGGGGAGTAGAGTTTGGTGTGAGTTAGTTAAGAAGGACCATATGGCCCCTCTCGAAACTCAGGATTACAACAAGCTTCTTCCAAGTTTCCTCCTGGCTCTCCCTAGAATTTTGGTGTTAGTGCCATATGAATAGAACTACTACTTTACGAAGGGTATAAGAATAGAGTGTTGATTTAGATTATTTTGGTTAGTGTATTCGTCAGTTCTCCCACTGCTATAAAGAAATACCTGGAACTGGGTAATTTATAAAGAAAAGAGGTTTCCTGAGCTCACGGTTCCACAGGCTGCACAAGAAGCATGGCTGGGGAGGTCTCAGGAGACTTACAATCACAGTGGAAGGCGAATGGGAAGCAGGCACATCTGACATGGCAGGAACAAGAAGCACAGAGAGAGAGAGAGAAGGGGGAAATGCTACACATTTTCAAACAACCAGATCTTGTGAGAACTCTATTACAAGACAGCACTAGGGGAGGGTGCTAAACCATTAGAAACCATCCCCATGATCCAATCATCTCCCACTAGGCCCCACCTCTGACACTACGGATTATAATTCCACATGAGATTTGGGTGGGAACACAGAGTCAACCCATATCAGTCAGTCTTTGTCTCCTTTGCCATATTTAGAATATTCTAAGTATTAATAATGTGTTTGATAATATTAATATTTCATTGCATATAATAATTTTAGATGCAATTATGAAGGATAATGGGATTGCCTCTGGATAAGGAAGAGGAAAAGTAAGGAGCGTATTGCTGGATGTTAAAATGGAATCTGTGTGTGTGTGTGTGTGTGTGTGTGTGTGTGTGTAGGGGCGGTGGTTGGAGGGCAGTTTGTAAATGCATACACAAGTCAGCTGACCTGTGGCCAATTTTCAAAGAGAAATTTTGCTGCTATGGTTAGAGTGGCTTCTTTTCTCTCCCAAGAAGAAAAGGAAAGCATGACTTTCCTTTTCTTTCTACTTTCTTATTCACTTATTGTCTAATTGGGGTAAAACTCTTTCCCCTCAATGTGATCTTTCCCTCCTTCACCTTATCCTTCTGATCAGAGGAAAATATATCTCTCTGTCTCTACATCTATCTTTGCTACTGTGCTTCACAATAAAAACTTTTTTCAACGATCAAAAAGCTACTTTTATCTTCTCACATTTCTAGAAAATTATCCAAAATCAGTCATCTTGTCCTACCTCATTCCTTTCCAATAAATTTAGATTTTTACTGTTCATTCTCACCTGCATGCTCATAAAATAACAAAAGAGGCACAACCGGGAGGTGAGAGCTTGAAGCTGCTGGTCAAAGCCAGTGGGTGTGAATGGCAATGTGGCAATAAATGGAGACCCACCCAATGAGAACAAGCAAAGGCTGTTATTATTCAGAGCTTGCTACAGCAAGGGAGTCAGCTATCATCACTTGTGTTTTGGCAGAGGCTAAAAAACTGGCAGACGACTAGAAGAGCTTCAGTGGAAACATCCTTCAGTGGAAGGCTTCAGGTGTGCCCTAATTGGAGGCTGCTGTGAGAGGGAAGCTGGAGGTGGCTGGCTAGAAGTGAGCAACCTATGTGATTGGTTGGGGGAGCATATTCTACATTCACTGGTCGGTCCTAAATTAGAAGTGCAAACTCAAATTAGGGAATTTGTCAATTAGGAATCACATTGAAATGGTCAATAATTATTTGAGAAAATGCTCAACATCATGAATCATCAAGGAAATGCAAATTATAACCACAATGAGGTATCATCTCACCCCATTTAGAATGACTGTTATCCAAAAGTCCAAAAATAACAAATGCTGGCATGGATGTGGAGAAAGGGAACTCCTCTTAAATTTTTTATTTATATTTATATATTTTTAAGAAACAGGGTCTTGCTCAGAAGTGCAGTAGTGCAATCATGCATAGCTCACTGTAACTTTGAACTCATGGCCTCAAGTGATCCTCCCTCCCTAGCCTCCCCAAAGTGCTGGAATTAAAGGTACAAGCCACTGTGCCCAGCCCCAGAGGAAACATATGCAGTTGGTGGGAATGTAAATTAGTGCAGCTACTGTGGAAAATAGTATGGAGGTTTCTCAAAAAACTGAAAATAGAGCTACCATACAATCCATCAATTCCACTATGGATATTTATTATCCAAAGGAAAGGAAATCAGTATATATCACAGGGATACCTGAATCTCCATGCTTATTGCAGCACTATTGGATACAGCATAGATATGGAATCGACCTAAGTGTCCATCCACAGATGAACGGCTTTTTAAAAATGTGGCATATATACACAAGGGAATACTATTCAGCCATAAAAAAGAATGAAATTCTGTTATTTGTAGCAACATGGATGGAACCAAAGGTCATTATGTTAAGTGAAATCAACCAGACACAAAAAGAAAAATATTGCATGTTCTCGCTCACATATGAAAGCCAAAAAAATGTTGACCTCATGGAGCTAGAGAGTAAAATGATAGATACCAGAGGCTGGGAAACATGATGTGGGGGCAGGGAAAAAGAGGTTGATTAATGAATACAAAATACGGTTAGAGAGGAGGAATAAGTTCTAGTGTTTGATAGCACCATAGGGTAACTGTAGTTAACAAAAATATATTGTATATTTCAATAGCTAGAACAGAAGATTTGGAATGTTCCTAATGCAAAGAAATAATAAATATTTTAGCCAGTGGATGTCCTAAATACCCTGATTTGATCATTACACATTGTATGTATGTATCAAAATATCACATGTATCTACAATTATTATGTATCAAAAATTAGTAAGTTTTTAAAAAAGACTTATAAAGCAAAAAAAGGTTAGTCATGGCTTTTTGGGGCCAATTGTTACAGGGGTTACTCTTTGGCTTCCTGGACTGTTGCTAGACAAAGCAACCTGACTTCCCACAAGTCTGACACGGTCAGCTGGCTTCCTGGGCTGGCTACTGTACACTGTGTTGGTTTCCTGGGCAGGTTGCTGCAGGCTGTAGGTCAGAGTTCTGTCTTTTAGGCATGGTCTGGCTGCTTTCTGTTTGTCTATTCAGTCTCTCATTAGTGTTGCGAGAACCAGGAGGTAGAGCTTTGCCCTACCAGGAAAGGCTAAAATTCCTGAAGGCACCAAAGCTCAGACTGGATTATTCATCCATTTACATCACTTCATGTGTCAGCCATCAAAGCGAGGCTGATGTTTGAGTCTTGGGATCAAGCTCTCGCTGACTCACCCCACCCCAGGCAATTGGTGGTAAGTTAAGAAGGGCAGCTATTCTCTCTGAGACCCACTCACACTGCGGCTCAAGTAGCTTCTGAGCCACAGCAGTGCTCAGCAAGGTAGCAGGAAAACTCCTATCCCTTAGGCTGTAATTGCTCTGTAATTTATTCGGAAGGAGGGCACTGTGTATTCGCAATGACAGGCAGCAGCAACGAAAAGCTATCAGCATGCCATGAGCATGTTGAATGCAGCTCCTAATCTCCTTTTCCATCTGCCTGAGTTGGCCTGACAGTCTGACTCCCTGAAAATAAGCGAGCATAGAGGGGAAGCTGTTTTTCTTGTTAATTTCTTAATTTGATCTGGCCTGCATCAAATTAATTAATTAATTAATTAATCTGGCCTCTTTTCTGTGTCAAACTCTGGGATTCCGAGGTTTTAAAAAATAACAGCAAAGCTTTGCTTGGTGCTAGAGATTTAGTATCTGATCAGATGGCTAAAGAGCAATTGTGAAGCAATTAAGGTAAATATTCATTTAATAAATGACTGAAGAAAAAATGAACTGAATAAATGACTGAATTCAGAACTCATCTTAGATTTCACTGCACCTCTGGGAAGTTTGTCCCACCTTGCTGGTCGGAGGGGTGCTCTGTGGTCCCCTGGTTTCTGTACCTTAGTGTTGAAAGACAGCCCTGTTGAGTGGCGACGGTGTTCCTACCACTCTCCTCCTTTACTCTGTAAGCTACTGTTTTGGAACAAATATTCAATTTTGTGTCTGCATCCCCAGGACTTGTCAGTGAAACTGCACAGAGCAGGAATTAGTCTAGTGCTCATGAAAGGAACATGAAAACAGTACAAGAAAAAAGCTTGGCAATTTGGTAATACTGAAGAGAATTTTCCTAGTATCATCACCATTCCTTTCTTCACTGCCTTTAAGGATTGGCCTTTTTTTTTTTTTTTGGTGAAATTTCAGTCTGCAGCACAGGAATCATTTATAAAAGGCTACCAAGTGATAAAATACTATCTTATCTCTGTTAGGTAATTGGATCTGAGCAGCAGGGTAGGCTCTGTTGATAGATTCAGGTAAACAGAATTAGTGCCAAATGAAATGTCTACATGAAGAAGTGGTTGCTGGGGTGTGAGGCATTTGGGTGGGCAAGTAAGAGGGAAGGTTTCCAGCTGGGCCATCATGGTGCTATCTGAAGAAAGAGGAACACAGGAAGTGGGGGAGACCAGGATAAAATCAGTCCTGGACATGGTGAGTTGGAGGTACTTATCAGACATCAAAGTGGAGTGCAGAAGAAAGATTGTGCTGGAGTTATTGATTTGGGAGTCAGTAGCACTGAAGTGATCATTAAAGCCTCAGAATGAGTGCTTTAGTCCGGGAACAGTGATAACTAGTAAAGAAGAAAGAGCAGAAAGCCCAAGACTGTGCCCTGAGAAACACCTGTCTCAGGGACAAGAAGAGGGACCTGCTACAGATACAGAAAAGCATCCAGAAAAGAAGGAGAGGCCAGAAACAGGAAACCAGGAGACAGAATGTTTGGAGATTGTGAAGGAAAAGACTTGGAAGTGTGATTGCCCCCAAACAAAGAGGCTGAGGGTCAATCCTGACCTTTATGATAAGAGTTGCTCATACTGACAGGCAATTTCTGCAGGAAAGAGAAAGACATGAACATCTTCCATTTCTAACTCAGATGACTCTTCCAAAAGCCTAGCTGGTTAAAAATATAGAAGGTAGTTGAAAAAAATACAAATAGGCAATATATAAGTTTTCTTTGCCTGTGAAATTCTAATATATGCAATCACCTATTGTTCCTAGAAAACCTGTCAGTGAAATAACATGTTTCCTTTCATTTTATTTTATTTTTTTGTATGGATGGGGTCTTGCTATGTTGCCCAGGCTGCTCTCAAACTCCTGACCTCAAGCAATCTTCCTGCCACAGCCTTCCAAGTGCTGAGATTACAGGCAAGAGCCAATGTGCTCAGCCCTGTTTCTTTTTAAACCAGAGAAAATAGTACAAAATAACTCACATAATTCCTCTAAAACATAAGATCAATCCAGAGATTTTGTAAGATTCCAGTGGCCCAAAATGAAACCAACGTTGCCTATAAAAATTGTGTTCCCTTGGTGCAGATCAGAAACTGAGCCATATTTGCACGGAAAAAGACTGTCCTAGAATAAACCCTGTGGCCTAATGTTTCCTGTTACTTGATAAGATGGTGAGCTAGGAGAGATATAATAGAATGCAGCATTGGTGGAGGCAGAAAGTCCTCTACTGTGACCAGGGACATGGAGGAAAGTGTGTGAGAAGGTGCAGAAAAGATTATCGGTTTGGTAGTAGGAATTTCAAGGACATTTTTTCTGATAGCTGCTTCTATTTTCTTTGAAGTGGGAGGTGAGGTAATTTGCTGAGAGTGAGCAGAGTGGGAGTAAGGATGTATGTATGCAGAAAATGCAAAAGGTTTCAATTTTTGGTTTAGTTTTTTTTTTTTTTTTGGTAGAGAGCAGAAGAGGAAGATAACTTAGGAAAACATCGGATGGGTAGGTAGTTAATTTAGAGGGTCACCAGCCTTAGACTTTCCTCTTCAACCAAAACCAAAACAATTTAATTCCTTCTGTCTACCACCACAACATCTGAGTTTAACCTCCTCCACCTTTTTTTTTTTTTTTTTAAACAAATAATACTCATGTGTGTTTCTGAAGAATTGCCCTTCTGCCAAGGCACCTGTGGTTTAAAGGAGCTACCTTCCTTCTGATGGCTCATGATGCTTTTCTTCGTGCAGCTACTCAGACATGTAGGCTCTCCTTGCCTTCCATCATGAGTAAAAGCTTCCTGAGTCCCTCACCAGAAACTAGGCAGATGCTGATGCCATGCTTCTTATACAGCCTGCAGAACTGTGAGCCAAATAAACCTCTTTTCTTTATAAATTACCCAATCTCAGGTATTCCTTTACAGCATGTAAAATGAATGAAGTAACATATTACTCCTGTCTAGTTAATATCATAGATGACAGTTGTACATATGTATGGGGTACAGTGTGATGTTTCAGTGCATTTACACATAGTATAATTATCAGAGGAATTTCCATATTTATCACTTTAGACATTTATCCTTTCCTGGCAGTGATGACATTCAAAGTCTCTTCTAGTTGCCCTGAAATACCTACTACATTGTTATTTGTTATAGTCACCCTGCTGTGTAGTTGTGGATATTTTTAGTGATACTGAATTTCCTGATGGAATAAAGCTTTATGTTTCTTTCCTACTGATTTCTTGTAGCATGTTGCACTAGAGAACATGAAGCGCAAATGATGATGATAATAATGATGCTCTTGCTATTTTGAAAACTATACAAAATACAGGCAATATCAACTGTGAATGCAAAGAATTTTCACTTTAAAACAGTATCTAACTGGTAAACCATTTGCAACCTCTCTCATAGACACACTAAAATATTTGTAAAAATAGAGAAAGAGATAACATTCTTTTTTATTGCTGTAAGAACACTTAACATACAATCTGCCCTCTGAGCAAATGTTTAGGTGTATAATATATTATTGCTGACTATAAACCCAATATTGTACAGTAGATCTCTAGAGCTTAATCATCTTGCATAGCTGAAATGTTACACCCATTGAATAGCAGCTGTCCATTTCTTTCTCCTCCCTACCCCAGAAACCATCATTCTTTGTGACCACTTTATATGTCTCATAAATATTGCTATCATGCTTATTTCACTTAGCATAAGGTCCTCAAGGTTTATTCATGTTGTCACATATGCCTCAAGGTTTATTTATGTTGTCACATATGGCAGGATTTCCTTCATTTTTTTAAGGCTGAAAGATATTTCATTATATGTGTATACCACATTAATATTGTTTGGGTCTGTGTCCCCAAATCTCATGTCAAATTGTAATCTTCAGTGTTGGAGGTGGGACCTGGTGGGAGGTGATTGGATCGTGGGGGCAGATTTCCCCTTTGGTACTGTTCTTGTGATAGTGAGTGAGTCATTGTGAGATCTGGTTGCTTAAAAGGACGAATAGGCACATTTTCTTTATCTACTCATCCATTAATGAAGATTTAGTTGTTTCTACATCTTGCTTACTGTGAATAATGCTGTAATGAACATGGGAGTGCAAATATCTCCTCAAATGCCTCCTTTCAATTATTTTGGATAAATACCCAAAAGTAAGACTGATCATGTGGTGTTGCTATTTTTAAGTTTTTGAGAAACCTCCATATTGTTTCTCAAAACATAGGGGCTGCACAATTTTACTTTCCTACCAACAGTGCACAGAGGTTCCAATTTCTCCACATCCTCATCAACACTTACAATTTTTTCTTGTTTTTGACAATAGCCATCCTGACAGGTGTGAGGTTATATCTCATTGTAGTTTTTCTTTACAATCCCTTGATGGTTAGTGATATTGAGTACCTTTTCTGTTCATTTGATTCTTGGTTGGTTGGTTTGTTTTGAAACAGAGTCTTGCTTTGTCACCCAGGTTGACTGCAGTGCTGCAAACATGCCCACTATAGCCACAACCTCTTGGACTCAAGTGATCCACCTGTCACAGCCACCCAAGTAACTGAGACTACAGGTATGACAATCACACCAGGCTAATTAAAAATAATTGTAGAGCTGGGAATTTACTATGTTGCCCAGACTGGTCTCAAACTCCTGGGCACACACAATCCTCCCACCTCGGCCTCCCAAAGTGCTGGGTTTACAGGCGTGAGCAAATGTGCCTGGCTGAACATCTTTTCATGAACCTCTTGGTCATTTGTATTCTTTGGAGAAATGTCTATCAAGTCTTTTGCCCATTTTTTAATTGGGTAATTCATATAAGGAGTTCCTTATATATTTTGAATATTAACTATTTATCAAATATATGGTTTGCAAATATTTTCTCCCATTCTGCAGTTTGCTTTTTCACTCTGTCAGTTGTTTCTTTTGCTATGCAGGTGCTTTTTAGTTTGATCTAGTCCCAAATGTCTATTTTTGCTTTCATTGCCTGCACTTTTGGTGTCATATCCAAGAAGTCATTGCCAAAACCAATGTCAGGAAGCTTTCCTTTATGTTTTCTTCTAGAAGTTTTAGTTTTAGGTCTTATATTTAAGTCTTTAATCTATTTTGAGTTTTGAGTATAAAGTTTAAATTTCATTTTTCTGCATGTGGCTGTCTAGTTTTCAAACACCATTTGTTGAAGAGACTTTCCTTTCCCCATTGTCTATTGTTGGCATCCTTCTCAAAGATAAGTTGACAAAGGTAAGTTTCTGGGCTCTCTATTCTATTCCATTCATTTATATGTCTGTCTTTTTGCAAATACCAATTTATTTTAATTATTGTAGGAAACCTGATGCCTCCAGGCTTTGCTCTTATTTCTCAAGACTGTTCCGGCTATTTGGGGTCCTTCGTGATGTAATATGAATTTTAGTATTCTATTTCTGTAGAAAAATGCCACTGAGAATTTGTGGAAAATACATTAAACCTGTAAATCACTTTGGGTACTATGGACATCTTAACAAATATAATTCTTCCAATCCATAAGCACAATATGTCTTTCCATTTATTTGTATCTTCTTTAATTGCATCAATTTTTAAAATAGCTTCTGATGTACAATTTTTTTCATGATCATGATTATATGTATTTTAAATATTGTATTTTTCTGAATGGAAATGGAATTATTTTCTTAATTTTTACTTCAGATAGTTTCTTTCTAGTGTATAGAAATTGAACTGATTTTTGATATAAACTATGGTGCCTGGCAAGATGGTTGAATAGGAACAGCTCTGGTCTGCAGCTCCCAGCGAGGTCAATGCAGAAGGCAGGTGATTTCTGCATTCCAACTGAGGTACCCAGCTCATCTCTTTGGGACTAGTTAGACAGTGGATGCAGCCCACGGAGGGCCAGCTGAAGCAGGGTTAGGGCATCACCTCACTTGGGAAGCACAAGGGGTCAGGGGATTCCCTCCCCTAGCTGAGGGAAGCCATGAGGGACTGTGCCATGAGGGACTGTGCCATGAGGAATGATGCACTCCAGCCCAGATACTATGTTTTTCCGATGGTCTTCACAACTTGCAAACCAAGAGATTCCCTTGGGTGTGTATGCCACCAGGGTCCTGGGTTTCAAGCACAAAACTAGGCAGCCATTTGGGCAGATACCAAGCTAGCTGCATGTTTTTGTTGTTGTTGTTGTTGTTGGCTTTTTTTTTTTTCCATACCCCAGTGGTGCCTGGAACACCAGCAAGACAGAATGCTTCATTCCCCTGGAAAGGGGGCAGAAACCAGGGAACCAAGTGGTCTAGCTCAGTGGATCCCACCCCCATGGAACCCAGCAAGCTAAGATCCACTGGCTTGAAATTCTCACTACCAGCACAGCAGTCTGAAGTTGACCTGGGATGCTTGAGCTTGGTGCGGGCAGAGGTATCTAGGATTACTGAGGCTTGACTAGGTGATTTTCCCCTCACAGTGTAAACAAAGCCACTGGGAAGTTTGAAATGAGTGGATCCCACCACAGCTTGGCAAAGCCACTGTAGCCAGACTGCCTCTCTAGGTTCCTCCTCTCTGGGCAGGGCATCTCTGAAAGAAAGGCAGCAGCCCCAGTCAAGGGCTTATAGAGAAAACTTCCATCTCCCTGGGACAGAGCACCTGGGGGAAGGGGCAGCTGTGGGCACAGCTTCAACAGACTTAAACGTTGATGCCAGCTGGCTCTGAAGAAAGCAGCAGATCTCCCAGTATACTGCTCAAATTCTGCTAAGGGACAGACTGCCTCCTCAAGTGAGTCCCTGATCCCCATGCCTCCTGGCTGGGAGACACCTCCCTGCAGGGGCCAACAGACATCTCATACAGGAGAACTCTAGCTGGCATCTGGCTAGAGTTGGGATGAAGCTTCCAGAGGAAGGAGCAGGTAGCAATCTTTGCTGTTCTGCAGCCTGTGCTGGTGATACCCAGGCCAACAGGTCTGGAGTGGCCCTCCAGCAAACTCCAGCAGACCTGCAGCAGAAGGGCCTGACTGTTAGAAGGAAAACTAACAGACAGAAAGGAATAGCATCAACATCAACAAAAAGGATGTCCACACAGAAACCCCATCCAAAGGTCAGCAACATCAAAGACCAAAGGTGGATAAATCCACGAAGATGAGGAAAAACCAGCACAAAAAGGCTGAAAATTCCAAAATCCAGAATGCCTCTTCTCCAAAGGATCACAACTCCTCACCAGCAAGGGAACAAAACTGGACAGAGAATGAGTTTGATGAATTGACAGAAGTAGGCTTCAGAAGGTGAGTAATAACAGACTCCTTCAAGCTAAAGGAGCATGTTCTAACCCAATGCAAGGAAGCTAAGAACCTTGAATAACAGGTTAGAGGAATTGCTAACTAGAATAATCAGTTTAGAGGAGAAAAATCAATGTCCTGATGGAGCTGAAAAACATAGCAGGAGAACTTCGTGAAGCATACACAAGTATCAATAGATGAATCCATCAAGCAGAAGAAAGGATAACAAAGATTGAAGATCGACTTAATGAAATAAAGCATGAAAACAAGATTAGAGATAAAAGAATGAAAAAAAATTAACAAAGCCTCCAAGAAATATGGGACTATGTGAAAAGACCAAACCTATGTTGGATTGGTGTACCTGAAAGTGATGGGGAGAATGGAACCAAGTTGGGAAACACTCTTCAGTATATTATCCAGGAGGGCTTCCTTAACCTAGTGAGACAGGCCAACATTTAAATTCAGGAAACACAGAGAACACCACAAAGATACTCCTCAGGCAAAGCACCCCCAAGACACATAATCGTCAGATTCACCAAGGTTGAAACGAAGGAAAAAATGTTAAGGGCAGCCAGAGGGTCGGGTTACCCACAAAGGGAAGCCCATCAAACTAACAGAATATCTCTCTGCAGAAACCCTACAAGCCAGAAGAGAGTGGGGGCCAATATTCAACATTCTTAAAGAAAATAATTTTCAACCCAGAATTCCATATCCAGCCAAACTAAGCTTCATAAGCAAAGGAGAAATAAAATCCTTTACAGATATGCAAATACTGAGAGATTTTGTTACCACCAGGCCTGCATTACAAGAGCTCCTGAAGGAAGCACTATACATGGAAATAACCGGTACCAGCCCACTGCAAAAACATACCACAGTGTAAAGACCACTGACACTATGAAGAAACTGCACCAACTAACGGGCAAAATAATCAGCTAACATCATAATGACAGGATCAAATTCATACATAATAATATTAACCATAAATGTAAATGGGCTAATGCCCCAATTAAGACACAGACTGGCAAATTGGATAGAGTCAAGACACATTGGTGTGCTGTATACAGGAGACCCATCTCACGTGCAAAGACACACACATAGGCTCAAAATAAAGGGATGGAGGAATATTTACCAAGCAAATGGAAAGCCAAAAAAAAAAAAAATGCAGGGGTTGCAATCTTAGTCTCTGATAAAACAGATTTTAAATCAACAAGATCAAAACAGACAAAGAAAGGCATTACATAATGGTAAAGGGGTCAATGCAACAAGAAGAGCTAACTATCCTAAATGTATATGCACCCAATACAGGAGCACTCAGATTCATAAAACAAGTTCTTAGAGACCTACAAAGAGATTTAGACTCCCACACAATAACAGTGGGAGACTTTAACACCCCACTGTCAATATTAGACAGATCAATGAGACAGAAAATTAACAAGGACATTTAGGAATTGAATTCATCTCTGGACCACGTGGACCTAATAGACATCTACAGAACTCTCCACCCCAAATCAACAGAATATACATTCTTCTCAGCACCACATCACACTTGTTCTAAAATTGACCACATAATTGGAAGTAAAACACTCCTCAGCAAATGCAAAATAATGGAAATCATAACAAACAGTCTCTCAGACCACAGTGCAAACAAATTAGAACTTAGAATTAAGAAACTCACTCAAAACTTCACAACTACATGGAAACTGAACAACCTGCTCCTGAATGACTACTGCATAAATAATGAAATTAAGGCAGAAATAAGTAAGTTATTTGAAACCAATGAGAACAAAGACACAATGTACCAGAATCTCTGGGACACAGCTAAAGCAGTGTCTAAAGGGAAATTTATAGCACTAAATGCCCACAGGAGAAAGCAGGAAAGATCTAAAATCAACATCCTATCATCACAATTAAAAGAACTAGAGAAGCAAGAGCAAACAAATCCAAAAGTTAGCAGAAGACAAGAAATAACTAACATCAGAGCAGAACTGAAGGAGATAGAGACACGACGAACCCTTCAAAAAATTAATGAATCTAGGAGCTGGTCTGATGAAGAGATTACCAAAATAGACAGACTGCCCTCCAGACTAATAAAGAAGAAAAAATACAAGAATTAAATAGACACAATAAAAAATGATAAAGGGGATATCACCAGTATCCCACAGAAATAAAGACACAGACTGGCAAATTGGATAGAGGCAAGACACATTGGTGTGCTGTGTACAGGAGACCCATCTCATGTGCAAAAACACATATAGGCTCAAAATAAAGGGATGGAGGTATATTTACCAAGCAAATGGAAAGCAAAGCAAAACAAAACAAAACAA